TCCCTGTCTGTGTGTATTTTTATAACATCCATAAATTCTCTTCCTTATGATATATTTGTTGTACTTAATTTACATGTTTAGTTGTTAACAGTAATAATTCTTGGATTCATGACAAGTCTTTGGAACAAAAGATCATATACGAATTTTAATTTGTGTTGTATATTTTATCAATGCAAATTAATGGCAAATTAACCACGGCAGTTACAGGTGCTCATTTTATCTTGGATCGTCTCAAAGTTTTCCACTGTTCTCACATCCATGTACCTAAATACTGGCAGTTTATTAAGTCCAGTATTCTGGAAGTGTGACCGGGGAATTTTATCTAAATTTAGAATTCCAAACTAAGTGCCCTTGGCAAACAGATTGGGGAAAAAACTAATAACATAATTTCCTTACATTCTGCATTATATCAGGATGGCATGGGAATGATAAAACTTTTGAAGAGGGATAGTTTACTGACATCTGATACAGATTTGGGGCTGAATATCAGCCTCTGAGCAGGTCTAGATTTATTCCTGGCGACATGCCCGACCCCATGTTCCAGATGCCCAAATAAAATATATGTTATGATTCATTATATCATAAAAACCAATGTAGCAGTGAGGAAAATTATGTACTGCTTTGATTTTATCACCTATTCTTTTATGTGTATTCATTAAAAAGACCCACCAACTCTATGACTTTCAGGTTATATTTGTTTTACTCAGAGCAGACAAAGAACGTGGGCAATGTAACTGTTGACAATCAATTTATAGATATCCACATGATTTGTAACGTGTGCTTGTGTTTACGGTTTCCAGTACTTCCATACACTTAAATTACGATGGAAAGTAAAAACAAAATCTAGTTACCCCACCCTTGGATGAATAACATATTATTGACATGCTGTAAATTGACAATATAGTATGCTCTGCCTGATATGAGTGCTTCGAAGTAGTGCACGCTTCAGTCTTGGTGACTTCCTCATTGACTGATACACCATTACATCGGACTTATGACTCATTCTCACTCCCGATATGCAATTTGACAACTAAACTAGAACTCAAAACATATACTATATAACTCTCTTTAGATATTTTTGACACACGACTGGTAACAAAGCATTCCGAGGCGAATTCATCGCCCGCGCATTCAAGTTTTGCCGGCTGTGACGCCACAGCGAATAGCCAGAAACGCCTAAAACCAGGACGGCAGCTTGTGGGCGGGGCCTATCGGTCGGGGCTGGATCGGTCTTTTGGGATACGATGACATGCATTAACCAAGTAAGCGAGCCTGACCACCCGATCCCGTTAGTCGCCTTTTACGGCAAGAATGGATTGGTGAAGACCTACTCTTCCCTGGATCTTCACGAGTCGGCCATATCATGACGAGATCAAAGACATAAGGATGGATATTGGAATAGAATTCCTCTTACGAAACGTCAACAACACAATACCAAGAAGGATACAGGTCCGGACAGGAAAATATGAGACATTCCTAAGACAATGGCCCAGTAATAAACAATGAGTATTTCATCAGTTGTACCCACACCCCAGAAACTGACCGGAATCTCGGGAAACATTCGTTGATAATTGAGTGAGTGAGTTAAGTTTAACGCCGCTTTTAACAGTATTCCAGTTAAATTCCACTTCGGTGAAACCCACGAGCACGCGTATGGTGCTGATAAACCTAGAAACATAATCGGGGCGAACCTGGATTCGAACCCACAATCATAGGTTTCTGGCGTGCCCAAGGGACGTAACTCTGCACAGCAAGTCGCGGCGCCTTAGACGACTGGGCCACCCGTGCCCCCACCATTCGTAGATAATTTCTTACATGAATCATAGACGCAAAAAGAGCAAGCTATATGTCTAGTCTGGCATAACCTTTCTTGAAGCATAAAACATCAGACATGGTAAACACAATTTATGGATAACTTCTTTATTGTACTATTGTACTATTGTAGGGGCGGTTGGGTAGCCTAGTGGTTAAAGCGTTCGCTCGTCACGCCGGAGTCCCGGGTTCGATTCCCGACGTGGGTACAATATGTGAAGCCCATTACTGGTGTTTCCCGTCGTGATATTGCTGGAATATTGCTAAAAGCGGCGTAAAACCATACTCACTCACTTTTCCAGCAAGAGTAGTGTGTACAGAATGGCATATGGTAGTCCCTTATCCTTCACATTGTGTCAACTTTGTCATTAGTCAACTTCTAAGAAAGGCCCTCAAACAATTCATAATACATCTGACTCCAGGGCCCAGCTGCACAAAGCGATCTTAGCGCTTAGATGATCGTAACTCCCATACTTTAACATAGGCTTACAATAGTCTTAGCGCTAAGATGATCGTAACTCCCATACTTTAACATAGGCTTACAATAGTCGTAGCACTAAGATCGCTTTGTGCAAGTGGGCCCAACAGAGACAAAATGTAATGCTAAATGTTTAAGGCAAGAAAAAAAGGTCACATTTCAAATGATGTTTAAATTGCCCCTTGTTGGGCTAAGGTGTCCGTTTCGACTTCAAAATGTTCTGCCAGTCTTAAGAAAAACTCTTAGTGACGTTCGAATTAAACGTCTTCACGAGTAGTGAACACGCAATAAGGCGACTACTGGGTTCTTTAAACTCATTAACAATCCCTACAAGACCCTAGGCAGTGAAGTTAGCTGCTGAGATAGGAGTATGAGTGATAAAGTCTTAGAACATTTAGTTGCTGATGCCGAGATGTATGGGCTAGAGAAACTTTAGCTGTTGAGACAGGGGCGTATGTGAAAGCTTGTGATGCCGGTTTGTATGGTATGCAGTTAATTCAGCTGCTGAGACAGGTGTTTGGGATACAGTTAATTCAGCTGCTGAGACAGGTGTTTGGGATACAGTTAATTCAGCTGCTGTGGCAGGTGTTTGGGATACAGATAATTCAGCTGCTGAGACAGGTGTTTGGGATACAGATAATTCAGCTGCTGTGGCAGGTGTTTGGGATACAGATAATTCAGCTGCTGAGACAGGTGTTTTGGATACAGTTAATTCAGCTGCTGAGACAGGTGTTTGGGATACAGTTAATTCAGCTGCTGAGACAGGTGTTTGGGATACAGTTAATTCAGCTGCTGAGACAGGTGTTTGGGATACAGATAATTCAGCTGCTGAGACAGGTGTTTGGGATACAGTTAATTCAGCTGCTGAGACAGGTGTTTGGGATACAGTTAATTCAGCTGCTGAGAAAGGTGTTTGGGATACAGTTAATTCAGCTGCTGTGGCAGGTGTTTGGGATACAGTTAATTCAGCTGCTGAGACAGGTGTTTGGGATACAGATAATTCAGCTGCTGAGACAGGTGTTTGGGATACAGTTAATTCAGCTGCTGAGACAGGTGTTTGGGATACAGTTAATTCAGCTGCTGAGACAGGTGTTTGTGATACAGTTAATTCAGCTGCTGAGACAGGTGTTTGGGATACAGTTAATTCAGACCTTCCACAACTTGCGTCTTTTCTACTTGCGCAGTGCGTACGGGATACTTATCAGAAAACACCGACTTCCTGCTCGCTTCCACCATTGTTTCCGGAATCAAGAACATAGCGCGTGTCACATTCAAGACATTCTACAGTAATTAAATGCTGGACAATCGTGAGAGCACTGACATTTATTATAGGGCCTGTTATTTACTGCTGCCGTCACTAATCTGACTTATTGCTTTGCCTTTTAAGAGTGTAAACTTGTGTAAACACTGTGTATCAATATATTGTGTTAACTAGTCTTTGTGTGGTAGGTTACCGATTTCACAATCGAGTTCTGTAAGAACCGATTCATTCCTGGGTTAACCTTTGTGATTCAATTTGGAAATCAACAAACATTTTGACCGATGCAGGATTATATGTCAGGGACATTACTGAGCTGCTGGTGTAGGATTATATGTCAGGGACATTACTGAGCTGCTGGTGCAGGATTATATGTCAGGGATGTTACTGAGCTGCTGGTGTAGGATTATATGTCAGGGATGTTACTGAGCTGCTGGTGCAGGATTATATGTCAGGGATGTTACTGAGCTGCTGGTGTAGGATTATATGTCAGGGATGTTACTGAGCTGCTGGTGTAGGATTATATGTCAGGGATGTTACTGAGCTGCTGGTGTAGTATTATATGTCAGAGATATTACCAGGCTGCTGGTGTAGGATTATATGTCTGGGACATTACTGAGCTGCTGGAGCAGGATTATATGTCAGGGATGTTACTGAGCTGCCGATGTTAAAATAACCTTGAATTCAGGAAAATAAAACAAAAAAACATCCAAATTTAATTAGAAAATATGCATGATTATCACCTGTTTGCCTGCCAAGGGCACGTGTTTTCGAATCCTAGATAAATCTCTTTAGGCACAAAGCAGTGACTTATCCGGCTCTCTCCGCTGTCCAGGGAACAGTCAGATATATAGTTTAGAGTAACATGGCATGGGCATGGGGTCCCATACTGGTTGCAATACATTTCCAAATACTTTCCATGACATATAACACGTGCTCAGAAGCATTCAGCCGGTCACAAATAGGGTTTTACGTGTATTGAAGAAAATCAAACATTGACACTCTGAACTTGGAGACACCATCCAAATAAAGCCAAACCCAGCGATAACAAAAGCAACAAGAGCAACTGAGGACCCCACATAATTATATGTGAGTCAAATCTGTCTCAATCACGAGACCCTACAAAAACCCACCCTCCCCAACATTTACAGTTCCCCCGTCCCCCTAAAAAACAAAAAACAAACAAATCAAAAACACAAATCCTACAACAGCTAAAAAGGCTAACTAACAACAGCAACAAACACCTCCCATAGCGTCCCATTGCAAATGAGCACATTCAACGCTAACAGTTTGAAACGGCGATACGTGTGCACTCCCCGCACATGATACGGCAACAGCGGCTGGCGCACTGCAAGTTGCCTACCACCTGTGTTAATATACATCTATGTAACAGCAGGTTCTATACAAAACGTATCCACGTATAAGTTCGGATAAATGAAAGCAAATACTTACTTGAAACTCGACTTGCTTGTCTGTAAAACACTCTTTTCAATACTTCCCGACACAGTTGCGCGTGCGCAGTTGAAAGGAATGCCTACGTTTCATTCCAGGAAATGAGAGGGGTTTCGATTTCTTAGAAACGGAATACGTTTGAAATACGGCTGTCCCCTTCACATAACTGTTGTGTACTGAGCTACTTTGTACAACACAATCATACTATTGTGAGGTGATATCATTACCGTATTTCCTCTATTAAGGACTGTATCTAGGGGAAGGCCGTGACTCTTATAAAAAAACGGGTTACAAGCAGCTGAAGACTTATCTCAATTGCTGTTAAATCACTAGTCTACTGAACTAATTAATAACTGAGAGAGTTAATTAGTGAATATGGTTTAACACCGATTTTAGCCATATTTCCCTACCCCTACTAAACCTAAATTCCATACTCGTCACAAGAACAAGTGCCGGGCCTGTAATATGCTCTGGCCTACGTTATCCAGACGAAACTCGTTGCAGATGAAATATATTATTAATTTCATATTTCCAAAGCGAGAGAGAGAGAGAGAGAGAGAGAGAGAGAGAGAGAGAGAGAGAGAGAGAGAGAGAGAGAACGAGAGAGAGTTGCATCCTCCAGTGTAACATAATGGTTACCAGGATTACAGGTTACAGCACACGTTTATCGACCTACCTCGCGATCTCCAATCGGCAGAATGTACATACAGATAACAGCTGTTTCATTCAGCTACTGATATCCTGTAGTTGAGGTCGGGGCATGAATATAGACATGCCGAGAGGGAGGCCTAGTGGGACATATTATCAGATGTAGCAGGATCACGAGGTGTTATGCTTCCTCCGTTAGGTTTTATACCACGAGCCGGAACCTTACGAGTGACGCATAAACGCCATGTGCCCTGCGTGATCCTGCAACACAGAATTTATCTCACACACATGTTACAATATGACATTGTGAAATAATTCAAACAAATTCAAAATTGATAGAAAACAGCTGTTGGATTGAGCTGAGGTCAGCTTGAGTTATGTCACGTGCCTTCCGTTAACTCGGAAAAACCGTGCGGCTTTGAAGTAGGGTATAAATGATTTATTCTGCCCCTCAGAAATCCACGTGCAGCCTGCATCGCTCGTGCCGGGTAATAAGAGATTTATTCCACCCCTGAGAAATTTATTACTCAGGCGGGATATTTTATCGAGGTCACGTGGACCAATCAGATCTCATCATCCTGACATGGATTTGATTTCATTTGGTTTGTTCTTTTACGCCGTAATATTCCAGCCATATGACGCCGGTCTGTAAATAATCGAGTCTGGACTGACAGTCTAGTGATTTACATCATGAACATCGATCCACGCAATTGGAATCGATGACTTGCATCAACCAAGTCAGCGAGCCTGACCACCCGATCCCGTTAGTCGCCTTTGACGACAAGCATGGGTTGCTTAAGACCTATTCTACCCCGGATCATCACGAACATTCTGGCATGGAGATATGATAAAACCTTTGCCTATAGGGTCAGGTCATATCTACTCAAAAACAAAAGTTCATGTGACACCAATATTTTAGTGTATTTTTCAAACGGGTAAAGTATGATTTTCAATATTGTAGTACATGCATGGAATCAAGTCACAAAACGCAACTGCTACAGAAAAGCATGCATTCCATGCAAAAGTTGACTTTTATGCACGCCCCATGCATTTCACTGCCCAAGGATGGGAATAGAAACATGTGCGTTGGCGGGATTCCATATGTATTGTTTAGGATCGTGCTGACAACAACCACTCAGAAAAACAACAAAACTACGCAATTATTCAACATTACGAAATGCCACGCCTGTCCGAAAATGAGCGACTGCGAGCCATTGGTATGCTTGAAGCAGGACCGAGTCAACGTGATGTTGCAAGACAATTTAACGTTCACAGATTTGGTGTTTATAGCAACGTTGGCAACAGACGAATGCAGTCAGAGACCATCCTCGGAGTTGCAGGCCACGCGTAACCAATAATCGACAAGACAACTGGATTCGAACAACACACCTACGAAATCGATACCAGCCAGCAACAGTGACTGCAAGAAGCATCCCTGGCCTTCGACGAATATCTTCACAAACCGTACGTCGCCGCCTCAGATGTGCAGGGATTGTCGCCAGAAGACCCGCCAGACGTCCCATTTTGATAGGAAACCACCGTCAGGCACGTCTACAGTGGTGCAGACAGCGTCTACGCTGGACGGCCATGCAGTAGGGACAAGTTTTATTCACTTAAGAGTCTCGTTTTCACCTCAGCCACAGCGATGGGCGGATTCGAGTGTACCGACGTCGAGGTGAACGTTACGTCAATCATTGTGCAATGGAAGAAGATCGGTTCGGGGGCGGCAGCGTTATGGTATGGGGTGGGATTACAGCAAGACAGAGGACCCATTTCATAGTGGATGAGGGAAATCTCTAACGGGATCGGGTGGTCAGTCTAGCTGACTTGGTTGATGAATGTCATCGATCCCAATTTCGTGGTCGATGCTCATGATATTAATCACTGGATTGTCTGGTCCAGACTCGATTATTTACAGACCGCCGTCATGCAGCTGGAATATTGCTGAGTGCGGCGTTAAACAACAAACCAACCAAATCATGACAACCCGCCTAAGCAAATGACCAGTCCGTAAATAGTGTTCAAATTTCTAATGTGTGTATTTGAAAAAAATACTTTTTTATGGCCTCTCCCATATAGTTGTGATAACTTATTTTCGCTGAGCAGTTTTTATCATAAAGCCATAAATAGTAAAACAGTTGCCGTCAAAAACGTTAAGCGGATACACACTGATTGACCGACATACGTCTCTCCCAAAGTCTAATGCACAGGCCTTGACGCGAATGTCGGTCAAACAGCGTGCACCTCGTCACATCTTACAAATCACTGCACATCCCCGCATTTCTGTGTGGTAGTGAGGCGAAGACAAGATGAACGTGGGAGTTTCCCGTGGTTTGTACAACATGCGCTTTATATTCAATCACATGTGCACACGATTCTCGTCAAGCCTGCGCCTGAATGATATAGATTTGCCAATGAAGCATAGTTTACGTTAAACAAAACCGATACAAAACCAAGTTGTTTTAATTGAGATACATATATTTCCTATTCACTTTCCCATACGGGCAGAGAAGCATTTTACCCAACTACCGTCTGGGCCACACACAGCAATATTCCAGCTATTTGAAGGCGGTCTGTAAATAATCGAGTTTGGACAAGACAATGCAGTGATTGACATCATAAGCATCGATCCACACAATTTGGATACGATGACATGTATCAACCAAGTCAGCGAGCCTGACCACCCGATCCCGTTAGTCGCCTTTCACGACAAGCATAGTCGCCTTTTACGGCAAGCATGGGTTGCTGAAGACCTATTCTACCCCGGATTGCATGTGGAAAGGGCTGAAATACGCCAAGTGCCATGTCTGATTTATGGATAGACTAAAATCTAGTCTCTGAAATGAACATATCGTACATAAAAAAACAGTTGTTTAGTTATCTTAATAAAAATATAATAAAAAGGAGCCCAGTGACTCTCTTCATTTCAGCTCATTTCCTGATACTGCAGTGATCTAGACTTGCCAAACATTATAGACTTGCATGGGCTGTATTTGATATATATTTGTATCAGGGTCTGTAAGACAGACTAATTTATGGAGTGAGGAGGCGTTTGTCGTTCGTGTGCAGGGTGGTTGAAACAAGTATTGGCGAGAACGGGTTTTCTTGCATCAACTGACATTGGTTTATCAAGCTTTGTTTGTTTATATTTCTTTGTATAAATTGAAAAAGGAAAGGTTTCCCCTCAAAAGGTTTCAAGAAATAGTGTACAACTCACACCTAAATCAATATTTAAATTCTCTAACTTGTTAATATCATTCTGACTGTATTTTAGATCAGCATATTATCTTACAGTTTACTCAATGTTGAAATAATCGTGTTTGCATAATCGGTATTTTGCAATAAGGAAGTATTTAACTTCCAGTTGCCTCTACCGTTTTTCTGACAAAATGAATTCGAAAAATAGAGCGTAACTGCTGAATGATCAGATTTATATTTCCGTTTTAGAATATCTCTCGACACAAAGAAAACGTCTCGCCGAGCTTGTTGCCTTAGATCACTTTTCAACCAGTTAAACATTGATGGGCCTCACAGTCAAAATGTCGTGAAATTCTCTCCAGACATCGATCAAATCTAATTTCAAAAACCTTTTGTCTCGCCTTTGGGTTACTTATATGCTTGTAAATTTTCTGCGTCAACATCGGGGCTCAGAAATAAGTTCCAATCTCAACAGCCTACAAGAGATTCGTTATTGAAATCCTGAATATGAATAAATAACTTTAAATAAGGGTGGTCACTATTAAGTCCATAAATGTCATTGAAACGTATGACCACTCCTCATGCATTTGATTTATTGGGGCTACTGTACCACTAAGACTCCATTCATGTAACATTACAGGTACATCTTCCTCGGCTCTATGTATATCCTGTAGATATATTATTGAAAAACGTCGTTTCCTCCAAATATTAACAATCTCTTTCGCTTATCTTTTTCTGCTAGGCCCCTACACTTTACAGGAACAACTTTGATAACCATAGTCAATTTGGCATTTGTTATCAACTGAGTTCATGTATGAATATTTTTGCCACCAACTGCTTGGGGAGTGTTTTCCTTTTTTATGTTCACAAAAAATTGTAAAAACGAAACAAAAAACGCAGACATGTCATTTCTCCATGCCCTGGCAACAAAGAAAAAAATATTCAGCGTATGTTATCACACAATTGTGGATAACCATATAATTTCATCACTCTGTCTTAACCCTAGAAAGCCGGGAAAAGTAATGTAACTAGAAACCAGACCAAAATGTTAACTTTCAAAATCAAAGTTTAACCGTTGCTTATTAACACACATACATACATAAAGCGTCAATAAAGTATCAACATGCATCTCCAATACCCGCCCGGTTAGAACAAACACCTAAATTCACAGAACACGTGTTTCATCAGAAAGAAAGAAAAGGCACTCCAGCATGTTTATCAATAAACAGTAAGTGTCGGGTCTAACCTCTGCCATAATAGCTAAAGTTCATCTAGCTATAAGATCGAGCTAGACATGTACAACCGAAGAAAGGACAAACATCACGCCTTCT